GTAATCGGTTGAAAAAGATCTCAGTGAATTGGTGTTCATTACATATTTCAACGCATTTATTTCTTCAATTGTCTGCTCCAGCAAATCGTTTAAATTGATAACGTTCATCAAATTGAAAAAGAATCACAGCAAATTTAAATAATTGAAAGGGACCAACGCCCAATGAACTTTCAAATAAAACATGTGTGCCCCAAGAGCGATAAACCGGATCGAAAGTTTATAGTATTGAAATTCAAAGAATTTCCTATAAATTAAAAAGAACATTCAAAAGATATACCCTCAATTTATTTCAAATTTACTAGCTGGTGCATGATTTACGATATGTTTAACGCAAAATAATAAGTATTAAACAAAGTGTTCAAAACATTTCCTTGCGATAGCATCCATGCTCAAGACATTTTCACGATATTTTAGCCACCCACAAGACATATCCATGCATGCAATGACTTAATATATAAAGGCTATTTCATATAATAGATTATCGCGGACCAACATAAATCTCCCAATGCTGTTTGTGAAGAAAAATCCGGCAAATTTAGAGTTCTCCGTATAGCTCAGCCGATAAGGCAGCGTGGGCCACAAATCTCAAGTCACGCGCGTTGCAAAATTACGTAAAATTACGGCGTGAAAGTGCAAGTCACTTCCGGCCTGCCGCAAACTGCTTCCGGTGCTGCGCGTAATTAAGCGATGCGACCGACGCTGCGCCGGCAGCTCGCTGCAAAATTTCTTCTAATCGCGAGAAGAAAGAAATAGTGTGGAAATAGGAAAGTAATTTTGATTTTTCATTTTTTATGTGATGCTATTGAAGGAAAAAATAGCGATAAAATAGGAAAGTTATTTTGATTATTCATTTTTATGTGATGCTATTGAAGGAAAAAATAGCGTTAAAATAGGAAAAAGGACAGCATGATGCTAGGGCAGCATGATGCTAGGGCAGCATGATGCTAGGGCTGCATGATGCTAGGGCAGCATGATGCTAGGGCAGCATATGATGCTAGGGCTGCATGATGCTAGGACAGCATGATGCTAGGGCTGCATGATGCTAGGGCAGCATGATGCTAGGGCAGCATGATGCAAAAGCAGTACGATGAGATCTGCATCACTAGTTAAATAAGAATCTCATCCAGCGAATTTGCATTTGCAAGATTTGCATTGAAGATAACATTTATATTCACAAGATAGTTCAGAAAACTTGTTCTGAATAATAGTGCAGGTTAGTGTTGCTGGGGGATTGTGACAGTCAGAAGAATGTGAGCTCTAGTGACTAATATTTAGATAATTTTATGAGATAGTGATTCGTGATAGTGATTGAGAAGTCAGATCACAAATGGTATTGAGTTGGGTGAGTCTCATTTGGATACTTTGTCTTTTTATTTCGTCATTTGGCAGATAAGACTTTCATAAACTTTTTCAAATCCCAAGGAAACTTTCACTTGTTCAAAATTCTTATGATTATGTTCACCGCTGCTCATTGGTGAGTGAAATAAACGTATTAGCGCCCAAGAACTAGAGGTTAACTACCGCTGCCAAGGACGATGCAGTAATTGAAACGTTAGGTCTTATTACCGTAGACTGCTCGCACAGACCTGATCAAATTATTTCACCATGTTCCCCATTTGCTACAAGCCTCAATAATAATGACATTGTATTAAATTGTGCAAAATTAGGATAAAAGGCTAAATTTACCTTTTAACTGACTTTTTAAACCAGCAAAATTAACCAAACAATAACTCGAAAATCTTTAGTTTAAATAAGTGATTCTACTTATCCAAAAGTAGACAGACATACAGCAGTAAAAAAATTAATTAAAAATATATTCCTATGAACCTGATGAGATAATTGAATCATACATCCATAGTATGGATGTATAGTATGGATAGTATAGTATGGATAGTATAGTATCCATAGTATGGATGTATAGTATGGATAGTATAGTATCCATAGTATGGATGTATGATTCAATTATCAATCAGGTCTTAATGTTTAATAAATAACATTCCTCTTGCGTCAAGCCAACATTTCTTCTCGCAAACTTAATTTATATTCTGCTTAACATACAAACAAGAATGATATGTATTACATTTCATTTTATATGAATAATGGTTACCTCTATGATGATTAGCATAATCATGATTATCATTTATGCGTCAAGCCAACATAACTTATTTTATATTTTCTGCTTAATATACGAACATGAATTAGATGTGTTTTACTTCATCCTACATGAATAATGATTGCTTCTATGATGATTACCATAATAATGATTATCATAAAAATTGTAATGAGAATTACTTCTTAGTTCTTATTACTTATTAGTATTCAGTGCCACCTGCACTCACTCCTGCATACACTCAAGGAAACAAGTGAGACTTTGACAAAAAAAGCTGCGCATATGTTGCCATCATGTGGTCCCTAAACTGACCCGATTTAACCTGGCAAAAAAGAACATGGGTGCTACACGTCCGTCCACTGTTCGTGTTGTGGGTGAGGAAGTGCGTCACTAATGGGACAAAATGACCCATTTATATACCTGAGTGTAGGTCACTGCCCCTCCCACGGCTAATATTACACGTGATATTAAATTATATATTTAACACGCAATAAATAAAAACTGTTGTTAATTAAAGCTAACGTTAGTATAATACTGAAGGCTAACCTTAGTATGATATCCTTTGATCCTTTGATGAGTTATTAGGATCTGAGTAACAGTGTGAGGGGAGACTAAGATGATGTGAGTGAAGGGTGAAAAGGATAGAGTGAAGGATGAAATGGATAGAGTAAAGGATGAAAAGGATAGAGTGAAGGATGAAATGGATAGAGTGAAGGATGAAAAGGATAGAGTGAAGGATGAAAGGGATGGAGTGAAGGATGAAAAGGATAGAGTGAAGGACGAAAAGGATAGAGTGAAGGGTGAAAAGGATAGAGTGAAGGATGAAAAGGATGGAGTGAAGGATGAAAAGGATAGAGTGAAGGGTGAAAAGGATAGAGTGAAGGATGAAAAGGATAGAGTGAAGGGTGAAAAGGATAGAGTGAAGGGTGAAAGGGATAGAGTGAAGGGTGAAAAGGATAGAGTGAAGGGTGAAAAGGATAGAGTGAAGGGTGAAAAGGATAGAGTGAAGATGTGAGTGGGGACAGACGAGTGCTAGAGTGGGGATATAATTGGAAATGAGGGACCAATGAAAAAGGATAGATTAAGGATCGGATGCAGAGCCTGTAGGTATTATAGTAATAATATATAATATGATATAATATAATATATATAATATAACATAATAATAATATAATATTCATAAAGAATATAATATGATATAATTCCAATAATATAGATTAATAACATAATATAAAGCCTGTACATAATATATACAGTGTAAAGGGATAAATAAGGGTCGAATACAGAGCCTGTAGATTTGATAAAAAATAAATCCACATTGAAGAGTGAGAGTGGATAAAGTAAGGACAAAGAGAGGATTTGCTAGGATTGAGTGGGATTTCGAGAATGAGCAATAGGGATAAAGTGTAGTGTGCATGGAAGTTGTGATGACAGTGTGATGACAGTACAGTGTGATGATAGTACAGTGTGATGACAGTACAGAGTGATGACAGTACAGTGTGATGACAGTACAGTGTGATGACAGTACAGTGACAGTGTGATGACAGTGCAGTGTGATGACAGTACAGTGTGATGACAGTACAGTGTGATGACAGTACAGTTCTATGTTTGCACGTGCTAATAAATTTTTTATGTCGCGCGCTATTGCACGCAAAATTGTAAATTTTCAGCTTCAAAAATCACGCTTTATAATTTTACTTATATTTAACATCACAAGGTCTCTTACAAACACCGCTCGGATACTCACTTCGAAACTTTATTTTCTTCAACATTTTTCTAACAAATCGCATAACAAGCAAACGTTTTTCAAAGTTTATAATATATTATTTATTCACAGCGCTTTGTACTGGACTCAAAAATTCATCAGTTTATTTCATTCATCAATGAATGAAATTCATTCATTAATGCAATCAGAAAAAGGGACGGAAAATATTGTCCATATTGTAACGCACTCTTTGCATTTAATATTGCCATGCCTTTTTTATTAAAGCTGGAATAAGTCAAAATGATCCACACGAGGACAAAAATTGTATCGCTATTCGGACAAATCTCCACGCATTTCCCTGAGTGCGGTTAAACAAGCCGTGATGCCGCGGCCCGGGGTGATGACGTCATCGCCGTAAGCGGCGTATATAAATAAGGCAATTTGCGCTCCGTCTGCAGTGTTGGCTGAGGCCGCGGTGAGGAGGGGGATACGTCGCTCTCTTTGAGCGCTGCTCTCACACAATTATCTTCAACTAAAGAGAATTAACGAAGTGAAAAGTGACACGCACTTCCGGATGAAGTTAAACTGTGTTAATCTGGTCAGAAAAACATCAGTGCAAACAGTTTCTTCGTAGTTAAAGCAACTCAAAAAAATCCTGATGCGTGTAGCTTTGAAAAATCGATACGAAATCCAAAATTTTATCGAGATAATCGATAATTGAATACAACTAGACAAAATTAGTAATCGTTAGTGATAATGGATTATTGGATGCTTAATTGACGAAATTTATAATTATAAGAGAAATGTGACTATTATAAAAGGAATTATGATTTTTTGCTAATTATTTAAGATATTTGAAGTAAATAATTATACTGTAATATCTTGTACGGCTGAATGTAGGGAATTCATTATACATGAAACGTATACATTGACACGAGGCCATAACAATGTTTTATTCACAATTAAATTGCGCTCTTAAAATTCACTGAGGCGAAATTTGAATGCCGCTTCAATGGGTAACATAAAAATTGATACAAAATTTTATGATAAGAATGCAGTTTCGAATATACAGGCATTGTCACATAAGATGTGTAGTTAGATAAATTCTATTAGTAATTTGGTGAAAAACGTTACTTAAATTATGCAAAATTTACATTACATTTAGATTCTTCAAATTTCTTTCCCAGGTCATTGAACAATTGCTGAGAGAAAATTGTAAAAACTTCACCAAAACTCGAATATTTTTTTTTTTCGATTAATCAACAAAGGAGCTTCAGTGAACCAATTGAAATAATTATTAACTGAGGACAATAGTTGTCCATGACTTACAACAGCGACAACAGCTCTGCAGGAGGATAACAGCAGCTACTCCTGGTCAGTATAATCCTTGTTATCACTATAGCATACCTCATAGTTATTCATTATCATCGCTCTAAATCATTGTTATCACTATTGATCATACCTCATAGTTGTTATTCCTTGTTTTCAATGTACATCATTGTTATCACTATCGCTGACACCTCATAGTAGTTGTTATTCCTTGTTATCGCTTTAAATCATTGTTATCACTATTGATCATACCTCAGAGTTGTTATTCATTGTTATCGCTTTAAATCATTGTTATCACTATTGATGACACGTCATAGTAGTTGTTATTCCTTGTTATCACTGTACATCCTTGTTATCACTATTGATGATGCGACGCTGTAATTAAGAATGATGATACTTTAACTATTTTATCATTAAAGCATATTCTGCATCATTGTTATCTCAGTAAATGATATTCATAATGATAGTTTGTATGGGTGCAATGCTATGATGGCGCGATGCAACGCACACATGAATTATTGAATGAATTTTAGATTATTCACCACTCACCACTCACCTTACCTTACCACTCACTACACATTGTACCACTGCCTCATTTAGCCCACCACTCACCACTCAGCCCACTCTACGTCACCACTCTTTCCGAGCGTCAAATTAAGCTGTAGTCGCGCCATGCGAGCGTCAGGGTCCACATCACTGGGCTGAGATTTAGGAGGAACTTAACCAGGGTTAGGGTTATAATTATAATTATAATCATAATTATATTTATAACTACAATTCAAATAAATTACTTTAGGTGCGTTGGGGAGATTTATTGATAAGATCCTTTTAAGGATATGGTCAGACTGTCACCATACGCTACATATAATACACTACACTATCAAAATATAAGACTTAAGTCAGGGTCCACATCATAGGGCTGAAATTTGGGAGTAACTTAACCAGGGTTAGGGTTATAATTATAATTATTACTTAAACCAATTCATTTAGGTGCGTTGGGGGGGGGAATTTTTTGATATGATCCCAGTCAGATATGGTCAGGATATGGTCAGGACATGGTCAGGATATGGTCAGGATATGGTCAGGATACGGTCAGGATATGGTCAGGATATGGTCAGGATATGGTCAGGATATGGTCAGGAGCTGGTCAGGATATGGTCAGGATATGGTCAGGATATGGTCAGGAGCTGGTCAGGATACGGCTGCCAGGGAAAAGTTTTGAGATTTCCGTTCCAAGTTTGCATTCTAAGTTGGCAAGTTCTAAAGTTACAATTCCGAGTTGCGATGTTTGAGGTTTGCATTCTAAGTTCTTTATATTTGTTCCATACTCAAAACAAATACAATGGGCCTTTAGTAAAGGAGAAAGTAGGCCTTATTCATTCAAGTTTATATAGGCGCGGTAGGCCTAGGCGTGTCTCTATCTAGTATCTATCTAGTATCTATCTAGTATGTATCTAGTATCTATCTAGTATCTAGTATCTAGGCGAAGCCTTATTAGCCATACCATATTAACTAATTAATATTAGTTAATAATCTATCTATCTATCAGCGTGTATCTATCTAGTATCTATCTAGTATCTCTCTAGTATCTATCTAGTATCTATCTAGTATCTATCTAGTATCTCTCTAGTATCTATCTAGTATCTATCTAGTATCTAGTATCTAGGCGAAGCCTTATTCGCCATACCATATCTGTCTCTTATACACATCTAGATGTGTNGTTGTTAAAATAACCTAAACTGTTGTTAAAATAACCTAAACTGTTGTTAAAATAACCTAAACTGTTGTTAAAATAACCTAGACGGTTGTTAAAATAACCTAAACTGTTGTTGAAAAATAAACCGCTAGCACAAATGTCGTTATAGTTAATAAATAAATTTATTTATTATGTGGTGGTGATGTTAAGGTTAGGATGATGAGGGAAATCCCGGCTGTTAATAAGCGATCCTTCAGATGATTTATTAAACAACACGTACAAAATAAAATTAATTGATATCTGTTAACAAATAATCGAAAATATCAACAATACTCCAGGTAATTTATTTACAAAAGGTTATAAATAATTTTTTTAACACTGGCTAATAAATTATCGAAATTATAACTAATCACCAGTCCTGATTTCACCATCATCAGCTGCCCTCATCACCACCACCACATCACACGCTCGTGCTGATCGATATTCTGACCAGCACGTGTCTGGGTACGTGGGGGGAGGGGTGTGGGGTGACTGGGGGTGAAGGCTGTCTCTTATNTGTGTATAAGAGACAGTCCCCTCTCCGTCCCCTGACCCTCCCCCACGCGGTCTCCCCTCAAGGGCTTAAGCCCTCAGCCATTGAACCCTCGCGTTAAGCACAAAGGTTCACAAGAGGGTTGCGCAACCCTTCCGGGGTGTGGGGTGGCAACCCCATTGTGGGAAATTTCGGGGTTGCATAATATGTTTTATCTTATCTTATCTTATTTTATCTTACTTATTATCAGTTAAATTTCTCCCACCTTATTATTTCCCCACAACCCTCCCCCTTGCTCAATCATTTTAGACCGCGGGATTTTCCTGATCTGAGGAATTTCCCCGCCGTAAAAATTTCTCCCACCGTGTAAATTTCCCCGTCATGTCAATTTCCCCATCGTTTACATTTTTCCCACAGTGTAAACTTTCCCCACCGTTTAAATTTCCCCCACCGTTTAAATTTCTCCCACCGTTCAAATTCCCCCCCGTGTAAATTTCTCCCCGGTTATATTTTCCCCACCGTTTAAATTTCTCCCACCGTATAAATTTCCCCACTGTTTATATTTCTCCCACCGTGAAAATGTTCCCCACCGTTTAAATTTCTCCCACCGTATAAATTTACCCCACCGTTTAAATTTCTCCCACCGTATAAATTTCCCCCAGCGTGGGATATCCCCCCACTGTGGGGTATAAGACACTCCCCCATGCCCCCCCCCGTCATTGTACCAGCGCTGTCGCTATTGTCGCCACACAATGTGGCGACTTTTGTTGTTGTTGTTGTTGTTGTTGTTGTTTTTGTTGTTGTTGTTGTTGTTTTTCTTGTTTTTGTTGTTGTTGTTTATGTTGTTGTTATTGTTGTGGTGTGTAGCGACTGCTGTGTCGTGCGTGTATAGTATTCGTGTGCGTGTAGAAAATAGAAATTATTCGTGTGGGTGATTATTATTAAATGATTATTAAAATGATTTAATAAAATAATTAAATTATTAATTAAAATATTGCGAACATTGCGCGTAGAAAATTCACGTGAAAAGAAATTATTCGTGTTCGTGTAAATAAATAAATAAATAAATAAAATTAGTAAATTAGTGTACACGCTGTGCGTGTTGTGCTCGCTGTTTTTAAGAAGAATTTAATGCTGCAAAAATCGGATCAGAAGTGACACCTTGTGATGGATATAAGCGGGGCAACAGCACGGCAACAGCATGGCAACAGCATGGCAACAGCACGGCAACAGCACGGCAACAGCATGGCAACAGCATGGCAACAGCA